ATTTTTGTATTTTTAGGAGTAGTAGATGGATTGAAGTCACAATTAATAAGGTAGTAAATTAGTCAATCTCTTTTTATACACTAAAAGACAGTTGCCAACTGACTGTCTGTCGAATATTTGTAATCAATAACAGGGCTCTAGAATTTTCAAAAGAACTAATTTTTCAAAATTGAGTTTTAATTTAAAAAGGCTAAATGAGAATTCTAAAACCTTTATTAATAAATTCCATGAAATTTATCGAGACCAAACAATAAGATATATTAGTCTAAAAGAAAACAGACATAGATGACTCAATATCTGAAAAACATGACTAGTAAAAATAATATAGAAGACAGATTGAGAGGGACCATTTGTCTTCAGAATGGAAAGAAGCAATAGGTTCTATTTAAATGATTAAATGTTTGACAAGTTAGGCCCACTTAGAGATTTTTTAAAACAATAAACCTCCAGAATTCATTAGTTAATTTTCCTTATTAGATTTATATGCAAACGGGATCATTATTTTTAAAGAAATTAATAGTAATGTTTAACTTTTCACAATTGAAAACTATTATGAAAAGAGATGGAATTATTCTAAACTAGAAATATAGTCATTTTATAACTAAGAGGATGAAATTGTTTTCTCTTATTAGGAGAGCACAGATTGATTAAAAAACATCCTGAAACAAGTATAAAATAATGGAAAATATTATCATTCATTACAGGAATGAATATGAGAAAAAATAATTGCAGACACAATATACATAACACATCCGATTTTTACTGAATGTGAACTTAAATTATGAGAATAAGGAAATTATAGGGTTAGAGATGGAATCTATTGATAATGGATGTCTAGCAAATATAATTTAGGGTTTTTATTTAAAGAAAGTGATGTAATGATTATGATTAGATAATTTGTTAAATAAGTCTATTATGTAAAATTTTCTAGTAGAATGAACCCTCAATCTTTCTAAAATATCACTATTCGTCTAAACTTTTCAAGATTTTATATGATGCACTAGGCTTTCAATGTAAAACAAGTGTGAGCCTTGTCTTAATTTAAGCCCTCTAGCAGAAAATAAACTTACACATAACAATTTATTTTAATTTCAATATGCATATACGAATTAATCATATTTAAATGGATAGCATCTCCTTAAACCTTTAACTTAAAAATCTCACTCGCTCCTTATTAAATATTAACTTTTTCAATAAATAATTACTTTAATGAAATACTTCTGAGATTGAGTAGTAATCTAAGACTACAACTATGCTTTAGCAATATAATGAATAAGAAAGGTTTGTTAAAAAATTTGGGTAAACTGTTATTAGGAACCAAGATCTTGCTTATATAGAAGGCAAAGTTATATTCTCCTGTGATAATCTGACTCCTTGAATCACCAAAAGATTGTTGAACTGACAGAATAATTCAATTCTGTTGCAAATATAGATAAATAATGATATATGACAAAGATTAATATGAAGAGAAAGGTTTAGAGGTAATTCTAAATATTCTCGGTAGGAAACAAAACATAGGCAAATAGTTAAATAGATATTGAATATATGAGTTTTTATTCGTCATTTGAATAGAATTCTCTCATAAAGACATTTGCGCTATATATGAAGGTTATTTATCAAACTTCACTTTGTTTATGTTGCACTTCTTTTCACAAAATTTAATTTTTAAAGTAAGTACAAGCTTAATATAAAATTTGAGATAATCTAAAAAAAAAAATTCCTTAGAGTATTTTGTAAGTTATTAATGAAATTAGAGAATAACTTATTTTAATCATAATTTTAACTAAAAGAGATCATTGTAGATATATGCAGAGAGAAAAAATTAAGGAGTAAAAATTGAGCTAAGATTGATAAGGATATTTTGGAAAATAAGTAGAAATTTGAAAGATATAAAATAAATCAAATAAAGTTAGAAATATGAAAAAACTAAAAAAAAACAAAAAATATGGAATAATAAAACTCTTTGCAAAAGATGATTAAATTTAGTAGTAACCCAATTTTAAATATTTTACTCTTAAGAAAAGCAGCATCTAAATAAATGATGTACCTTAATTGATTTTAGAATTGCAACCCTCAAATGTACAACATGATAAGGTTTATATGAAGGATACATATTAGAATTCCATTTTAAATTAGTTTAAATATTAATTTTTGATCTAGTAAAACTAATGAATGAGAATTCTTTTGACTAGAACCAATTTATGCAGTAACCTTGAGACATATGTTTTCACATATTATTATTATGTTTGAAAACAGCTTATATGATTTTCCATCATGTCTACACCCATAAAAATCTCTTCTTTTATTAACCTTCAGTTATTATTCTGGCTTCATTCTTATATACATAGGTCAATAATCTCTGTTTAATTTCAAAGCAAATGTTGTATGAAAAATATTAAAGCATCAGACAGATGAATAGCTTAGAAAAAGTAGAAAGACAGATAAAATTGATAATGAAGGCAGATATAAACGCAAATACTCATTACTAAAAGTTATTTCTCATATATATTAAAAAAAATTCACTTCAATCATACTGATCATTCTGGTATTGGCAAATCTTGAAATTCTTAAAAATCTAAATTAAAATTTAGTTATGAATCCAAAACTATCTAAATGAGCATTTCAACATCAACATCAAAAAATCTACTGCTTAGTCTTTTTGTTGTCTTGTAGATATAGATTTATTCAGATTATATATTACTACCAAGTAAATCTTCTAATTTTGCAAAAAATGGTTGAAATTAAATTAAGAAACGGATTAATAATCAAAATATAATAAATAAATTAATAAAATTTGATATTATATAATAATAAAATTATAAATTTCAAACAAATTTTAACTCAAATATTTCACATTCACTAATATTTGGTTTATCTTATCCAAATAAATTAGTAGAATACTTATTCTCATATTTATCCCATTAATATGAGTGACCTAATTTAGAATAACCATCTTTAAAGTCACTTGTAATTTATATATCATGACCACCTCCAAATGTAGGTCCATATCCAGAATTACAATATATGGCATGACATTTTTAATCTTATTTCAAAGGATAGATTTAATCATGTGTTTATGAAAATAAGAATGATGATAATGTATCATCTTAAACATAATTATTTTTATTCTATTACCATTAACATGGAGAATATCCACCAAAGATATATCCACTCTAAGATTAAAATATCATAAGTAGATTACACTTACCATTACATTTATTCCAAAATGAATTACCATTTAATCCATCTCTGTTTCCTTAATAAATTAATTCTGATTCTTTTATTGTTTTTTTTGATTTCTCTTATAAAATAAAAAATAATTTAATCCAATATTCATCTTTTAATAATTTTGGTTTTA